AGGATGGCCAAGATGCTCTTGAAAAATAAGGTAAAAGAATTTACATTAACAGATATCAAGACACTGAGGTGCTGATTTGGAAATAAACAAATAGACAAATGGAACAGAATAAAAAGCCCCAAACAGACCCACACCTGTATAGTCACTTGATATGGGACAGGAGTGGGATGGCAGAGTCATTGAGAAATGACCAATAAAAGGCACTGACCGTCAATTGGGAATCTATAAGGACACTTCCCACAATACACAAAAATCAATGCCAAGATGTATTAAACACCTAAACATGAAATGCAAAAACATACAGCTCTTAGAAAGCAGCACAGGAGAATATGATCCTGAGTAAAGGAAGATTTTTTAAATAAGTAACTAAAAGCACTTATGATGAAAAGGTAGCAATAAAAAGGAATAAGCTGTTAATTACATTAAAATTAAGAACTTTATTCACTAAAGATATCACAAAGAGAATAAAAAGACAAATGACGGGGAGGTGAGCAAGATATTTCCAACTATCAAATACAAACCTGTCAAAGCTACAGTGAGATACCACTACACACCCTACCGAATGACAAAACTTTAAGAATTTGTTGGTTTGTATGAGGGGAGCAACAGAAACTCTCCTATGCTGCCAGTGGGAGGATAAACTGGTAGACTACTTTGGAAGGATGTTGGACAATATCTATTGAAGTTGAAGACAGGCATATCATATGACCCAGAAATTTCACTATTAGTTTATACCCTAATAAAATTTCCATACACATGTACCAGTGAGATGTGCATAGCAACATTGTACGTACTATTAAAAAACGGGAAAACCTCAAATGTTCTAGTCACAGTAAAATGGATAAATAAATTTTGGTATTTTCATTCAGTGGGATATTACACACATGCTGAGAAGCCAAAAAATAGAAAAGGCCACTGTATAGAGATCTAGGCAGAAATGCCTGTCCTCCTTACAGTGAGAGAGGGACAGACCAGCAAGGCTGAGAAGCAAATTAAATATAGCTCCCAGACACCAAGCATAGCAACGGCAGGGAGTGTTTTGAGTTCCAACATGTAGCAGACTCTAGGCTCTCTTAACATACCTCTGCCTCCCACAATCATTCTGTAAAGTAGAAGTTATTTTGCAGATAAGGAAACTGAAGGACAGAAAGGTTAAATAAATGATTTACCTGAGACCACACAGACAGTGGGTGGCAGAAAAGGAGATTGGAAACCAGGCAGCAAATCCCACCTTCTTTCCACCGAAGTAACCAACAAACTGTTGATTGCTTACAACAACCGTTCACCTCCTCTCCTTTCTCCCAGAACCCTGGTTTTGTTAGGATGTACCCCCTCCTCTGTGCCATCACCCTAGGGATGGCAGAACAAAAGACAGAACAAGCCTGGGCCCCTGAGGACTCTCTGTGGCAGTGCTGCCATGCCACACCAATTGGATGTTTTTCCTTCCTTTTATTTCCTTTTTTCCTTTATTTTAATTTTAGGCTAGGTGGTTGTAGAACTGTTAGGGTTCTTGAATCAAAAAGAAAATGTCGTTAGAAAACAAATTTTCCATTTCCTTCTAAACCATCGCAAGTATTACAGAAACCCAAACCAGATCACTACAACAGATGCGACATGGTCTATAACAGGCGCTGGTCTGTGCAGCCTGCAGAGGAGAGCCCGAGCAGGAGGGCCTGTGAGTGTGAAGGGCTCCGGCAGGCAGTCTGGTAGCAGTGTTGTGGGAAGCCTGAGACGTCCAAGAGAGCGCTGCAGGGCTGGAGGCCCACGCTGCATCCTGCCCCTGATTCATGTGCCCTATAAAGCTCGTAGACCCTGCCAGACAGAAGCCCAGACAGATCTGTGCCTCCTGCTTTCCCAGGCTCAGCACGTCCTCCTAGTCCAGAGCAGTTAATCCCAAAGTGGAAATCCAGAACCATCACACTATCGTCCCCACCAGCTAAGAAGACCCCTGCTCCCCACTGCCAGTCTGTGTAGGAAGTCCTAGTACTATCAAGGAGCTCTCATGCTTGCCCCATGGCTGCCATTCTTGTCACCTGGCTCCTGTGCTTCTAACACCCCTACCCTTCCCCTGCCATGTCCAGAGGCAGTCCATCGTCTGGGCTCTTCTAGTGCACTCCTGACGGCAGGTTAGAGAGGAGGATGTCTGATTGCCCAGCGCTGTGGCTACAGACACAAAGCTGTCTCATTTCGGGTCCTGGGATCCTTTATTCCATCTCTTTTTATCTCCTTGGAGTTTTCTATAACCCTCAAAGCTGGGTTCTGACTCTGGTCTTTGGGTATAGCCTGTGGTGGACCATGTCCCTGGCATCAGCTTTGACACAGGGTGTGGCCTTCAGAGAAAAGCTTGGATGAAACCCCAGAGGCCTGGAGCTACAGGGAAAGTGGGTTAGCCCAGCTTTCACAAGGACTGTTTGGTCCCACTTTAGTGTCTGCTCCAACGTGGGAACAAACCCGTTAAAACCTTTCAGATGGGGGGAGGGGAGCGCTGATTGGTATTTATGTTAAAGCCAAAGCTTTAGGCTAGTTTGGGAACTGACAAGACTCTGCTAATTCCTTGTATAAATATAGGAACTGCTCTCTGGCCATCCAGGTCAGAGTCTTGGGTGGGACACCTGGAGCCTTCATTTGCCTCTGAATTTTCTAGAACTGAATTGCTCTTTTCTCTCATTTTAAGGTCCTCGAAGAGAGAACCAAAAACAAAGGCCATGTCTGGAAGCAATTTGGGTGGGGGAGGGGGGGTCTTGAGGCCTGCCCAGCGCTATTCTCTTTGTTCAGCCTAGGCAATGGAGCCACAGCTGCTCATTTAGACACTTCATATAATTGTCCCCAGAAATCTAAGTTCTGGAAAAACAATTGGCTTGTAAAGCATTCCAGACTCTCTGAACAGATAGATGATCAGAATCTGAAATGTCTGTTTTTCATTAAGGAAATATTTCAAGAGGGACTATGGTACCAAGAGACCTGAATGCCTGCTCCTGACCCCCTGAAGAGGAGTGAGAAGGAATTAATGTCCTTGTGATTGTGTATGTGACTAGAAGCCACACCAGACTCCATCATGACTGGCAACTGTCCCTGGTGTTCTGTTCTTCACTTCCTGTAGCTCCTGACTCCTGAGACTCCAGTTCTCAGTTGGAATTGAGGTTGGCTCTCAGCTCCTGTCTGGCCCCTCCGCTGCCCACAATGCAAACCCACACCGAGTGACCAACGATAATAGCAGAAGGCCCAGAGCAGCTGCCATAACGAGCAGATGGGGCCAAGCTTGCTGCTGCAGCCCACGAAGTGCCAGCACCCCATTTGGTCTTTTACATGAGAAATTTCCATTTTGTTCAAGCTGCTATTGTTTTGTCTCTGTGATAAAATCAAAAGTTCTGGCAAGCCTAGAAAGAAGCAGAAGAATTAGGTGCAAAGTGCTGGCAGTTCAGCAGCAATCTCACGGAAGTGGGAAGGACCTAGGTGGCTTTCTCGCCACATTGCTTTGGTGTGGATTACTCTCCTAGTCCTGTAGGCTTAGTCTGCTCTGTGGCCTTCCTGCAGTTCAGCTTTCTCTGTTTCCCCAAAACATCACCTTGGAAATATAAGTGGCCCTATCTGACTTTTGACCCTGTGTAACCCCATGGGTCCACAACCAAAACCAACTAACTACAGACACAATAGAGAGAAATGGTCTCTAGCCAGTCAGTGGACTCACTGCTTTGGAGTTAGGTGCTGGTTCAGTCACCTCTGGGTGGCAGGAAAACCTGACAACTGAGGGCCATGAGAGGGAACAGTTTCTCTGGAAACTGACTGATGTGATTCTGAGGAGAGAGAACAGACAGGCAACTCTAGGGAAGACAGCTTTCATGGCTTCGCACAGATCTCACTGGCTCCTTGGCTTCTTTCTTTTCCAAGGTAGCCCAGATCTCTTCCTGTGTGAACATCCCCTCTGAAAGGGACTGTAAGGTCAGGTGGGCTGGGTGGGATGGACTAGGGGAGGGTAGATGACCAGGATGGGGAAGTGCTGGTGAGGTGGGACTAGGGAGAATGAAGACTAATGCCCAAGATCAAAACTAGGGAAATAATTTCACTTCCAAATGAAAAGGTCAGGGGCAGAGTGGAAAATTGGACACCGTGCCCAGGTCAGGAGCCAACAGAACTGGAAAAAGGGAAACAGGCCAGGGAACCAGACCAGGCCGGGCATGGCGGCTGCTGAGAATGAGCTGGCACAAAGCCTAGCTTCAACTGTCTCTCAAACCTAGACTCGTGCGCAGAAGGGTCACACCAAAGAAGACAGGGCTGTGTTTAAGTGATATCACCAAGGGGAAACAAGAGAAATCAGGGTTTCTTAACCCACGTCCATAACCCCCTGTGTTGTAACACAAGATTGTGTATATTTTTCTGAGATTCTTAAAGGGAACAGCGCCCCCAAAAGGGTTATTTTAAGGTTTGAGTATTGAATCTGGTCATCTAGGCAAAGATGATCACTGCCAGTCTCAGCGGGCTCTGCTCAGTCTCAGCGAAGGCCCTGAATGGCTGAGGGTCTCAGCCCCACTCCAAAGGGACAGAACCCCCTGCCTCGCAGGCCCAGGGGGCGCTGCTGCCATCAGAGGTGATTCCTCCCATAAGTGCGAGCGCCGGGCCTGGAAAAGGATGAGTAAACGATGGAGGATGGACACAGCGGCGAAGGGACGGATTAAAAGAGAGGGTTGTGATTCGTGCCAATGGGGACACAGACTGGCTCAAATATTAACGCGAGGTTTGCCCGCTTCTTCATAATCCTTCTGTTTCGTTTTACTGGGAAAGCAAACGTGTTCCCATCCCTCTATTTTGGTTACGGCTGGAGTTCCGAGAACGAGTAGAGCGCCAGACGGGCACGAAAGCCTTTGTCCCAACTCCTTCGGGGCCTCGGGGCCACGCCCCCCAGCGCCGGGACGCGAACTGACGCCTAGGGCTCCCCGCGCCCTGCGTCGGCGCCCGGGCCGTCGCCCCGCCCCTCGGGCCCGTGGCGCGCCGGAGTGACGTTACGCTGGTGCCGGCGACGCCGCGCTGAGCCCGGAAGAGGCGCGGGCCGGGCGAGGAGTCTGACGGCGCCGCTGCCGCGTCTCGGTCCCCATGGCGCTTTGGCGCGGCTCTGCGTACGCGGGCTTCCTGGCGCTGGCCGTGGGCTGCCTCTTCCTGCTGGAGCCGGAGCTGCCGGGCTCGACGCTACGCTCACTCTGGAGCTCGCTGAAGCTGGGGCCCGCGCCCCAGGGACCCGTCTCCCCCGAGGGCCGCTTGGCGGCTGCCTGGGACGCGCTTATCGTGCAGCCGGTCCAGCGCTGGCGCCGCGTGGCAGTGGGGTAAGTGCCTGCGGGGCCTGGGTCTCTGGGCCTCCCCAGGAGGTGCGGGCGCTGCGGGCCTCCGAGGTCCGCCTTGTAGTTCGGGCGGCTTGGGATCTGGGAGATAGAGCCCGCGTGGAAACGGGTTCCCAGAGGTCCCCGGGAGGCGCTGGTTACCGCGCTGCCCCTTTGGCGAGAGGCGTCGGTCGTCCGGGTGGAACGCGTTTGGTCACCGCTGCAGGCACTCATCAGACTGCTTTTTCCGCTCACCGTCCCCCGCGCCCTTCTCGCATCCCGGTAGGACCGGCCCTAGTAGCTTCTTGCAAATCCCTCTCAGCCTGACACCTTCATGTTCTGAGCCTCTTTCATAGTTCAAACTTTCAGCCCCGCCTGCTCCTCTGGAGACTGTTCTTTTGCAGTCAGAGATGCTTGATCTTACCCACTTTGACGGCACTCTTCCTCTTGCTTCTGAGCTTCTTGAAGATGGGGGGATCTCTGCCTTTAGCAACCCACTGCATTTCTCTACGCCTTGTTTTCCCTCAACGCTGCACAGTCTGGAGACCACCACTCTGCTGCACCTCTCCTCAGATTTTCAGATTCAGCTGCCTTTTTGTAGTCTTCATTATCAACTGTGCAGCCTTCCATGCGATGAACATGCCCTTCTCCTTGAAACTTTTCTTCCCCTGACTTCAGTGACACTGCATATTTAAGGTTCTCCCAAATCACAGTGCCTTCTTTCTTTGTATTCTTTCCCGGCAATGTAATTATTCTCATTAAGCTAACTTTAGTCCCTGTCTCAGTTAGACTTAGCTTTCTTTTTTCTTCCTTTCTTTTTTATTTTAGAAACTAATATCTCAGAATTTTTTGGTGGTGGTTGTTGTTGAGACAGGGTCTCTCACTCTGTCGCCTGGCTAGAGTGCAGTGGCGTTATCGTAGCTCACTGCAGCCTCAAATTCCTGGGCTGGAGTGATCCTTCTGCCTCATCTACTTTCTCTGAGTGTTGGGGCTGGGAGGGGTAAGGTAGAAATTGTCCTGAAGATTAAATGAAATAATCCATGTAATCTATCTAGCATGGTGTCTGCTTTAAAAAGCATTTAAATGTTAGCTAGTATTTTTTATATCAGTACATTTATTGGTTCTTCAGATGGGTCTTCTTTTACTTGTTATTTCAAGTTTTGGCCCTTTTCTCCTACCTTCTCTTTAAATTGTTCTACCTGGCTTTATGCACATTCATTCAACAAATATCCATCAACTACATGGGTAGTGTCAGATCTGTGCTAGGTTCTTAGGATACAGAGATGGGTGATACGGGTTCCTGCCTTGTCGAAAACATATACTGTGTTAGTCTGCTCAGACTGCTAGAATAGAATGCCACAGCCTGCGTGGTTTAAACTACAGAATTCTGTTTTCTCATAGTTCTGGAAGCTGATAGTAGTGCAAGATCGAAGTGCCAGCAGGGCTGGTTTCTGGTGAGGCCTCTCTTCCTAGTTTTCAGGGCACTCCTGTTCTTATGTGGACACTAGTCCTATTGGATTGGGGCTCACCCATATGACCTCATTTAACTTTAATTACTTCTTTAAAGACCCTGTTTCCAAATACAGTCACATTAGGGGTTAGGGTTTCAACATGTGAATTTGGGGTGACGGGGACACAATTCAATCCATAACAATTATGATTAGGAGAGGAACAGCCCAAGAGAAACAGGCAGAAACCTTAAGTCCTCGTATGACCTAACTTTAGAAGCACAGAGGGATGCTTCTACCAGAATCACAGGTCTGCCTGGTTTTAAGGGGGTGGGGGTTTGGGGGGAATAGAACATACTTGATGAAAGGAGCATCAGTGTCACATTGTAAAAAGAACATGAGGGATACGGCATCTTATTGTGACCATCTTGAAAAATGTATTCTGTTACGGTGACTTTCATGGAGCAGGCCCTAGAAAAGAAATAAGATTTCTCCAAAGATGGGAACAGCCACCTAGGCAAGAGAACCAAATGTGGAAAAGGATGTGGTTTGTTTGGGAACAGCAAGTTGGCCCTGTGTTGGGGTAAGAATCTTATGGTAGAGAGATGTAAAGAGATGATGCTGAGAAGAGAGAGGCCGGATTGTGAAGGGCCTTTCATGTCAGGGTAAGTGATGGGGAAGCCATAAAGCTTTATAAGCAGGTGAGTGATGCTAAGTTCTTCGCTGAGAGTAGCTGGTGGCCATGTGAAGAGTGGATTTTGAGCAGTAGTTCTAACCTGTCTTACTGCTTCACATCATTTTTGTTGGTAACACAGATCCATTGGTAATATTTGCATTACCCAAAGAGATTTTTAGCCCAAAGATGGGGATATAGGAGGAGTGGGTGGGAGCAGGTGTAGTACTTGTACCAGAAACTCATTTTGGGGGTGTGTGTATGTTGTAGTTGGACTTCTCAGAAGAACACACATACATACACTGTCTCTCATATACACACTTACACACAGACACACTCACACTCACTCACTCAAAACATAATATATGCATAAGGAGGAATGTCTTGAGACCCTGACACAGGTTAAGAAGCCACTGTAGGGTGTTCGTGAAGGGAGAAAAGAGCCTGAACCAAGCTTGACAATGGTGATGAAGAAGTGAGATTTGAGAGATATTTGGATAACAGATGGGATGTGGGGGAGTAAGGAAAGGCAGTCAAAAGTGACAAGTTTTTAGTATTGGGTGTGTTATAACAACCTTATGAGGGAGGCAGATACAGGTCTGTCATCCAGTCTTCACAGATGAGTAAACAGGCTTAGAAGCATTGATTTGCCCAAGATCAAATGGCTGTCAAGTGCTAGAGGTGCAACTTAAGCCTGGTCTTTCCCACTTCTGGTTCCATGTTCATGCCACATTGTTGCCATTAAGAAAGATTGAAGATAAAGGAACAAGTTTGTGGAAGAATGTGAGTCTGATTTTGGAGGAGGGGAAATGTACATTATTGCGGGATTTCAGATGAAGCTTCTCTGTCAGCTGCTGAAAATGAGAGGCTGTAGTTAAGGAGTATATTGAGGAACAGGGTTCCAGATTTTGGAGACACCAGCACTTACGTTGAAGCCAGAGACTGGATAGGATCACCCAGAAAAAGAACATGAAGAGAAGGTAAAAAAATGGCAAGGGTAGAATTCTGGGAGGCACCAGCATTTAAGGAGATGGTAGAAAGGGATCAGAGAAGCAAAGGACAGGAAGAGTTTTAAGACCATGTAGTGGTGAGCCCACTACCACGTCTTTCTAGGGAATGGGGCTCCTCCCTTATTGTTCATTGGGTAAAAGGTGGTGAAGCTTCATCCTAATACTCATTTGCCATGTAACTGGCTTCACCCTGCCTGCCCTTTGAAACCTGTCTTTGTCTTCTCCCCCATACGAATTCTGCATTCTAGCTAGATCAGCATTCTTACTCTGTCCAAGGTTAATCCGTTCATCCACGACTTTGCTTGTGCAGGCTCCCTGCATGGGCTTCAGTATCAGATAAATCTGGATTTGGATCTAGGCTCCTCCGGTCTGTGGCCTTTGGGGTGTTGGTTAACCCTCAGCCTCACTTTTCTCAGCTGAGAGCGGTGATGGCTAATTACCTCTCTCACAGTGTTATGCAGATTGGTGTGATCTATCTAAAGATACTTGCCTAGCATGCACTACTTCATAAAGTTGGCCTCTTTCTCTGACAGATGCACCACAGATATACCATCTAGGGTTCAACCCAGGGACCACTGCCCCAGCCCTTTTTGATTTCTTTACAATTCTGTATCTTAGTGTGATTAGCTGTAATCATGATTAGCTCTTACAATATCTGAGGCACATAATGTTAAAGCTAGAAAGAACCTTAGAAAACATGTTACAGAACATTAAACAAGGGAAGTGATAAGAAACATCATGTTTGCCTTTGAGGAGCTTGCGGTCTAGAAGGGAGAACTGTGCCCGCTCTGCCAGCCCCCACAGCCTTGTCTTGGCATCCAGCATCTATTGCCTTGCCTCATTTTCCAGTTGTTTGATCTGTTTTCTCCAAAATCACACTGTAATCTTTTATACATTTCTTACTGAGGTGTGAAATTCCGTCTACGTGTTAAGTGAGCAGAGTTTTGTCTTCTGGTTCTTTTTTTTTTTTTTTTTTTTGAGACTGAGTCCCACTGTGTTGCCCGGGCTAGAGTGTCGTGGTGTCATCCTAGCTCACAGCAACCTCAAACTCCTGGGCTCAAGCGATCCTCCTGCCTCAGCCTCCTGAGTAGCTGGGACTACAGGCATGCGCCACCATGCCCGGCTAATTTTTTCTATATATTTTTAGTTGTCTGATTAATTTCTTTCTAATTTTAGTAGAGACGGGGTCTCGCTCTTGCTCAGGCTGGTTTCGAACTCCTGAGCTGAAACAATCCACCCGCCTCGGCCTCCCAGAGAACTAGGATTACAGGCGTGAGCCACCGCACCTGGCCTGTCTTCTGGTTCTTTAACTCCCTATCTACCTTTATTTCCCCTTGATAATAAAGCACCTTATGTAATGTGCTTGTTTGCATTTTGGGATGCTATTGAGTTAAGTGCAGAGAAAGATTCTTGCTCTGGTTAAAGGATTATAAAATATAACAAGAAAGCAGATGTAAAAGTACTTGTTTGGCATCTGGCACATAGTAGTTTAATTTTTTTATTATAAAAAGTTATCAAGTAAAAATTTTTCTTCTATAAGACTGTTCCTCTCCCCCACACCCCCCACCCCCCAGTATTCCTGACATAATTAAGTGGGGAATGGAAAATGTTCCTATGGTGGTTACATCTTTAATTCAAAATTAGTTCTCTTGGGTTTCATCTTGTGTTGCAAAATATGCTGAACTTGGTTCCTTTTGCTTTTTTTTTTGTTGTTTTATTGCAAACTCAGCTTGTCCCATCTCATCTTTAAGGTGTCAAACTGTGTTTGAGGTCAGCATTACTGGATATGAAAGCCATGTGTTTATAGTTTTTGAAGTAGTTATTTTCAAATATAGGTTTCGCTCAGTTTCAACTTTTGCTCTCTAGACCCAAATCCATTTGGATGCACTTTTAGATATGGCTGTCTGGAGGAAATATTATAGTATCCCTCGTTATCCAAACTCTTACTCTAAGAAAATCAGGAACCTAGTGGAGTCCAAGAGCCAGAGCTACCTGTATTACTATTGAGATTCTACCTTTCAGGTATCTAATTTGCATTCAGTAGAAATAAAGGGCACCCTGTCTGAGGTGGAACTGAGCCCAGTTTACAAGGTGTGTTTGGTTTACTATTGTGTAAGGCTGTGAAAGGAACGTGTCTTAAACATATCTTCAGGCACTCGCCACATGCGTGTCTATGTATTTTATGAACTGAAAGGCATTGTAATTCTTAGATTATGCTTTTCCAGTTGACCAGAGTCATTATACGTCTTTGATGTTAAAAGAGTGAGAAAATTTGAGTATTTAAATGCTGTTTGGTAGGCAAAAATCTTTTCAAAACAAATCCATAGGGGAAGAATGTATAACGGGATCCTTAGTATGAGGATGCAGTCTGTTTGTGTTATGAGGGAGGATGTGTCTCTTCTTTGTTCTTGTAAATCTTCCTTAAGTGATGCAAATAATATCTAGCCTGCATAGAAGCCTTTGTAAAGTTATGTTGTTTTAAAAATTACAAAAGTAATACATGCTTGTAAAAACTAGAAATATATCTGATCAAAAGTAAAGTTCTTCTCCTTTATCCCAATCTCCTTCCTCTTCTCAGAGTTTGCCACCATTAATGATTTGGTGTGTTAATTTTCAACTCAAGAGATGTTTGAAGGAGACTGTAACAGAAACATCATAGCTATGTATTTTATGCTAAAATCCAATCCATTGGCCCTTCCTTATTAATGAGTTTACCTTCTGGTTCCATAGCTGCTCAGAATTAACTCCGAAGCCCAGTCACCCTCATCACTAGGAGCTGACTCAGTTGGCCTGCTGTGAGCTTTGTTCCTCTCAGAGGCTGGGAGCTACCTCTATGGTCATCCAACCCCACTAGCCAAAATGACATCCCCAATAGGCAGAGGCAAGAAATAAAGGTGACCATGACAGGGGGAGGGGCACAAAGACCTTACCTAGCTACCCTGATTATCTGGCTCTTCTCTTTAAAAAAGAAATGATGTTTAGTGAGAAACACTGAAAATATAAGCCAGAACTTCTCCGTACACACATAGGAGAGGACATGTGGGTTAGGCCATGCCAGAGAGCCTTAGTACAGAGTGAGCATCTCTAATCTGAAATCCAGAACGCTTTGAAATCCAAACCTTTGAGCACTGACATGATGCTGCAAGTGGAACATTCCATAAGTAGTTAACATAAACTTTGTTTCATTCACAAAATTACTTAAAATATTGTATTAATATAAAATTACTTTCAGGCCATGTGTATAAGGTATATA